CTCTCCTCTTATATTGTCTGTGATAACTTGAGTTCAGAACCATAAGCGGATTTAGGGAAGGGTGGGAGGGGTAGGGGGCTGCTAATGGGGCCTGCGTGTCTCGTTATTGATATTTTTTAACCCTTTGTTGCAGGAAATAGCATTTCTAGAAACCATTATATTTTAAGAATTCCTGAATTTTAAGACTCTGGAAATCCTCTAGCTTCGTTCAGTCATTTGACATAATAATTCGCACACAAGGTTGTAGACTGCAGATCAAAAAGGAATTCTGCAAACTTATCCAGGCTCATTCAATTATTGTCATAATAATTAGCACACGTTTGTATCTCAAAATAAAAACAGTTGTTTATTGTACAAGTTACCTTATTTGTATCTGTACGAGAAGCGCAGAGAACGGTATTGATGTACATGTAAACGAGGCCTGTTAGTCGTGACAAAACAAAAACAAAACGAAAACAAAGAAACTATTTTTGTTGAAATGAACACGAAACAAAACAAAAAAGAACATCAAAAGAAAAAAAGAGCCATCTCCTAGATATCAAAACGATATTTTTAATGTTTTTATTTGGCTAGAAAAAGAAAGAAAAGCACAGCGCGAAGTTTGGTCTTCAGGAGATTAAAGGAATTGCATGAATGAGAACTACACTCGTTTTTACGTACATCACTACCTTTCACACACCTCTTTAAGAGATACAATTATGGCCGCCTAATGGTAAATTTATTTATGTTAACCTAGAATGGAAAAAATAACTAAATGAATGTCGTTGAAAGTTGATTTTTCATGAATCAATGAATTACACAAAATATAAAGCTTCGGAAAAAGTAATAGACCGTTTTCGAATTCGTAAGATACCGCTTTGTCTTTGATTACGGACTCATTTACTCAGGCTTAGCCTTATATCAGCGTCAAAACAATCACAAATACCAACGGGTAAAGTATAGAATGCACAACTCGAGCAATACAAACGCTTTGTAATTCCACAGACCTTCACTGAAATTCCACGAAATTCTACACAGATCGAGGCTAACCCTGAGCAAAACTCGAGTGTTGAAGCAATAAAATCATGTGAGAAAATTCATGTAATATTAGTATTAGATAAACTAGAAATAATGATTTATGTCATGTCAAATATTAATTGTTAAGTTGATCTGTTGGGTTTAATTTTGCCAAAAGGAGACGTTCTGACAACGATATATTACATGCTATTAGCCAATCCGAAGTTGAGTAAACAAAACTGGGCCGAGTTGCTTTTGCAGTGCCTTGTGGGTGTGTAAGGCCCTGGCTAAACGAGCAAGCAAGTTTCCAGAAACATGTTTCCCGCGCGCATGTTCCCCGATGATTCCAAGTTTAGCCACATGCGAAACATTGCTACTTGCAACAAATTTTCCTTCCAAGACGCAAAAATGTTTCTGCTGTGCGGCAGAAACATTTCATGATTCCAAGACGCATGGAAACAATGTTCCCCAATGTTTCCTCGTTTAGCCACGAAAGTCAACATTCTAAAAGTTCGTTACTTAGCAACGCTAGCTCTATCTTGAAAGTGCGCATGCGCTAACCGATATTGAGTAAACATGTTTTGACGGTTTTGCCACCTTTGAAAACATTTAAGAAAACATGTTTCCTCGTTTAGCCAGGGCCTAAGGGACATAATATACAGTCCACAATGCACTGTAATGCCAACTCGACACAGTTTTTTCCTCAACCTTAATTTAGATCAATAAACTTCTTACACTAATAAACCCTTTACCAAAATGGCGACCACAGATTCGAATGAGTTAAAGATAAACTGAGTGAAAGAACTGAAAAGCTGTAGAGTATATACCCCCAGAAATACAAACGTCTGTAAATTTGTCAATTTTCAACTTAAGTTTTCTCGGCCGCTGTAACAGTTTACATAATGAATCTTAGTAGGGTTACCAAAGTAAAGGTGCTCTTTCTAATACTGGTATTGTTTTTTCAAATTTAACTCATTTCAATTTTCGGCGGCCATTTTGGCAAAGGCTCTATTCCCAATCTGGGCAACAAAACAAAAGATTGCACTTCTCTTCAAGATTGAAATCTTTTGTAATGTTTATTTTCATCCCAGGTAAGGATTTAATGCAAGAGGTTGATATATATTTTTATGAACAGACTTAGTGAGAACAACAGTAGATGCTATGACAGGTTTTAAGGTTTTATGAAAAGTTGGCAGTCAACGTTGAAAATTGTTCGATCTTTTTTTAGTCAAAACTTTCAAAATCTTCTAGTTTTTCTTAATTAACTTACTTAACTACTATGCTTTGTTTGTTTGCGAAAAACAATAGGTTCTTGATATGTAGAACTTCTATGTTGACTTCAAATTGAGAATTTTCGCAAGTGAAAAATGGGTTTCACAAAACCTCTCATAGCAATGTATGTCATTCAACTAAAAGCCTATGTAGTTCGAATTTAGCATCATAGGGATTGTGAATACACCTCCATGTAGCTTGGCCGTTATGTTTTCCTGTTTACTTCAGACCACATGTCATTCTCTTGACTGTGATATTCTTGGTATGAGTTGTATCCATATTCATGTGTCTTCTCGTGAGCAACCATTAAACAAAGAAATGATACTCTAGGAAATGACACGTGGTTTGAAATGAGAAAACATTACGCCCAAGGTAAAGAAGTGTAAATAGAGCATGTATTTTGTGGGTCTATTTTCATGATATATTATAGTTGTCTCATTGGGAAGAAATCATGCAATTGATGAAGTTCATGGTCTATTGGCAAAAATAGGTTTACCACGCATATGATACCAGAGGGCCGATGGGTTTGAGGAGGAAATCTTTCGTGGTCATCCGGATTAGTGATGTTCTTGCTTTTGTTGTTCGTCATGTTGTTGCTGCTGTTGGTCATGTTGTTCCTGAAAATCAAAACAAATAATGAGTTTGAATAAACATTTTTAACGATAAAGCGGCCATCTTGAATTTTTTGTCTTAATGAAGACGTTATGAGATGCTGAGGTGGCAACTATTGGGAAATTTATAGACTGTACAGCTGTCAGGGTTTCTTATTATATAACTTTACGCTTCTCAATGAGAAGCACATGTCATAGAGGTTTTGCATCATCACGTGACGGCAGCCATGTCAGATGGCAGGAACAATACAATCGTTTTACATAAGAAAGAATTCAATTCCCAAGCACAAAGGGATTTTATTGTTCTGCCATCTAACCACAGGCAGTCCAAGCTAGATTTTGGGCGCCGGCACGCGATGGTGCCTCTATTGCTATTCTATTGCCTCTCAAACCTCTATTGAATTTGCTGGTAGTTCGAATAATATACGAAACGCCAAGACATCAAATTATTTGAAAACGTAACCCCGCCACTCTATGCTTTATTAATTTTCTGCGTGTTTGCCCCCTCGTCATCTCAAAATTTATGATGATCGCCTATTTATACTATGGTTTGGAGTGACACACATATATGTAACACAAGAAACTTGTATTTTCTATATCTGTACACAAAATCTTTCAGGTGAATTCATATTTACAGAAAAATAGAAGCGGAAAAGAAATATGGGTCAACGTAACGTTACTATATACTGTTGGGGTGCCATACATGGAATATCCTGCAAGGTACTGTAAATGACCTTACTATGTTGGCACACTATCCTTCAGCCAAGTGTCGGGTACTCTTCCTTTACACCTTCTTTTCACTGGTTTATTCTAATTAGCAGACCCTGGAATATCCCATGAGGCACTTGTATTTTCTGCATGTGCTCACACACAATCCTTAAGCCGAGTTTGGGATATCATTTGTTTACACCTTTCTACTGGATTATTTTAGTATCCCCTGGAATTTCCTATGAGGCACTTGTATTTTCTGCATGTGCTCACACACACAACATCCTTCACGCAAGTTTGCATAAAGGAAAATCCAGGTTGCAAGATTTAAGGAAAGTAAAAAATAAACTTCAACTACTCACTGTCGTTCCTTCTTTTTGAGCATCCCTATGCTTTTCTGCTTGATCTAAGCTCTTTTCAAATTCAGCAAGCTCATCATCTGTGTAAGGGCGCTCTTCATCAATTCCTTTCCATCCCTCATCTTTTTCAAATTCGTCTGATTTGCTTGCTGACAGGAACTCATCTTTGGAGACGAATCCATCCTTGTCTTTGTCAATCTGTTCAAGTAGGAAAACACAGCATGCTCAGTTTAGATAGAGCAACAGACTAAGAACGACGACAACAATGGCAACAACATATCAATAGCCTTCAATAACAAAACCTTCCAATCTTATTGAATCCTGTGACAACATCTGGGCTGATCTAAGTCATGGGACAGCTAACTCACAGATCAAACCCTGAAACAACCTCTGGGCTGATCTAAGTCATGGGACAGCTAACTCACAGATCAAACCCTGAAACAACCTCTGGGCTGATCTAAGTCAGGGCACGCCTAACTCACAGATTGAACCCTAAAACAACCTCTAGGCTGATCTAAGGCATGGCTAACTCACAGATCGAACCCTGAAACAACCTCTGTCAGGTTTTCCAGAGGTAAAAAAACAGAGAACCCCGAATAAAGGCTTGAATCAAGGGAGATTCCTAACAAACTTTTCTTACATGTGATGCAGAGTCTAGAGTCGAGACCCTAGAATTGAAAGACAAGAGCACTAACGCTACATCCCACCCTTGACTCCCCAAAATATAATGACGGCTGTCAATCAAAATCTTAATTTACCTCATTCATGACGTGTTCCCGCATCCTTGCAATTTCTTCATCCCTCTCAACAGGATCATAGCCTTCATCTTTAGGGTTATACAGCCTTGCCACCTTTTAAAAATACAATTCATAGTTTAAAGACTTTTCAATAAAATATTTGGTATATACACTTAACTGACTACTTCGACGATGGGGCGGCCATCTTTAATCACAAGCATTCCACATTGTTTAACAATCGAACCAGAGAATGATGCTATCATCATGATGGCAGTCAAATATCTTTACCTCTTTGACAAACAAAGCTTCCAATTCACCAGTGTCAAGATAACCATCACCGTTCACATCTGATAGGAAAAGACACTATCAAAATCATATGCTAATATACTTATTTCAATAAAGTTAGTCACCAAAAACCTAGAAAGCTGTGATAGCTGAGAATCATGGGGAAATGTTTTATATCCAACAAGTAAAGCTTTTGACACAAACTGCAGCAGTTGAGGATGCTCAGAGGAGGTGAACTTGTAACTGGTAGAAGATCTCAAGTCCATCAACAGTTATCAAGCGGTTGAGACTTATAAATGTATAAATGTATCTACCCATAATCCTTGTTGGTCTCAGCTTTGTAGCTTTTAAGGTGACTAACTTTATTGAAATAAGTGTATGCACCAACCGGTATTCCTAAAAGGGTTTTTGTGGTAAAAGGAGGATAAATTCAATCTAGTCCTTACCCCAAATCAGACAAACTTACCATGAAGCTGGAAGAATGTTCTAGGGTCAAAGTCCTTCTTGTCCAGACCATCACTCTCTTCCCAGACTTGCTCAAGCTGAGCTTTGCTTCCCTGAATCATAATAAAAATATATTATCACTTTCACTTTCTGATTTTTGCTTTATGAAGTATACAGCACACAAGCATGCACTTTCTTATTTTGGCATTGACAGGCTTCTGGTTCTTACTTTTGCCATGATATATACAGAAAGAATTGGTATAACACTCAAAACATTTTTGATATTTGTCTACAATACAGTAGCATTTTACAGTATTGTGTTTCTAATTCCCTTCATCCTATATTGCCAAACACTGCTTGCCTTTCAATGCACATGAAGCAAAGTGGTTTTGAGAAAATTTCTATACCTGACCACGGAGGAAATTTGAAAAAAAAAATCCCAAACCCTCTGGAATTTCCAATTTTCTTCCATGCAAACCTTGTAATTTCGTTTTTCCTTTGACCCCCCATTCCCTGGGAATTTCCGATCTCCATGATGGTGGGATATGAATATTATTAACAATTAAATTGTTCAATGGGTTTTGTAATTTTTTAACTTGGTATTTTACATCAAAGACTAGGACTTACAGGATGATGGAGATTTTTAGCTTCTTCCGCATGCTTTTTCATCAGTTCTTCATGCTTCTTCTCAGCTTCTTTGCGATGTTCCTCATCCATTTTCTTCAGTTCTGCTCTCCTTTCATGTTCTTTCTGTAGTTCATGTTTTTTGTACTCCTCTCTTCTATCTGCATCTCGCTTATCCATTTCATCATGATGCTAAATGAATTTCAAAAGCAATCAAAGGTTATTATTATTATAACTATTTGTGAGATGTTGATTAATCTAACTGTAAATCAAAAACTTGCTAACGGATAGTATCACAGTGTTTCTCTCAACAATAATAACATGCGAGGAATCGTTTTCATGATGAAATACGGCTAGGTTTTAGTGGACGCCAATCAAGGAACTTTTATGGTATGTTATAGCCACATACATGTACATATACCTATACTCTTGCTATGAGGAGTTAAGAAACTAAAGGCCCTGTTACACCTTGAAAATTTTAGATGAAACTTGCTTGCAACAACGTGGCGAGACAAGTTTAATGGGGGTGTTACACAGCGCAATTTCGTTCTGAAACTTGTTCTCGGTACAAGTTTCAATTGCACGAGTTGCAAGCTTACAAGTTTCAGCTAAAATTTTCAACATGTAACAGAGCCTTAAGAGAAAATCAGTATGAGCAACAACTGCCATTTCATTTTCTATACTACATGTATATTTGATTTTCTGCTATATTTTGAGTCCTGCATCAGTGGTATATCTTTTTATTCCAGATTTGAATTAATTCCAGAACCACTGAATATTGTTATATTTGTAAAGATAAGTAAATAATGGTGCCTGTTCAAATTGGTGGGCATCAATTCAAAATGGATTACGGCCACTTTATTTGTCTAGGTGAGGCACAAGATGATGTAGAATGCACACACAAGTTTAAAGTTGAAAAGAGTTTGAGAAAACTACAGGACACCTGTGTGAACAGTACGTAGATAAACAAAAATTATAAAAGCTTATAAACTAATATAAATCCCACACTGTCCTACTTAAGGAAGATTAAATGATTATGCATATATATGATGTGATAGTTAATATCACTGAAAATAGTGGTAGAAGAAAGATATTTTGAAACAAAGTTAAATGAATTTAATCTAAAGAACTGTTGATTGAGCCCTGGAGAGCTTTGAAAACAAAGCAATCCTTCGTTGACAATTTAAAGTCTGGTAGCTTCTTTTTTGTTCTGTTTGTTTTACAAATAAATAATATGCACGACAATTAAAAGTGGCATTTTTAGAGTATGGTTCTGTATCCATATAACTTAGAAATGTTGTAGTTTAGAGGAGGAAAACGGTCCAGAGAAGTTAGAGGAAAATCTCCATGGCAAAAAAGGTAGAAAGGGCATATTACCCTAAATTTGGTAGCACATTTTGAATTCTTGGCGAGAAAATGTTGAACTTTCTTAAAACATGAATAATATGAGCTGTATAGCTTATTGGTTCCCATTTATTCTCTCTCGGTTAATTCTCTATTTTATTTATTTTTTGAATGCAACAGACAGAGAGAGGGGGGAAGCACATGAGTGAGTGATACAAGCATATAGCATATAATTAATGCTTTACCAAGTACTGGTGCAGGTGGTGTAACAGTTAAAGCGCTCACCTCACCAATGTGACCCAGGTTTGAAAATTTTTGTGATGGCCAAGAAAAACTCGATATCCTAATAAAAGCTCATATAACTGCAGTTTTTGATATTCTGCGAACTTGTAAGCTGTGAGCTGCACTGAAATGGTTTTCCCCTGCCACCAATCAAGAATAATCAGTCGGTACCCTTCACATTCTCGACTGGCAGCAGTGAAATACCTAAATTTCACAACAAGCCGTTGAAATGTCTGAAATCACAGAATATTGGAAACCGCAGGAAGTATAAAAAATCAATTAAACGTTTTGCCACTAAAAGTCTACTGCCAATTGGTTTAGATATAACCCAAGTAAGTATCAAATGTAAAAGCTAAGCTAGTATCAAAATAATAACAATATCTTGATTTTATTAATTAACTAATTCATGATATTACTTGCTGATAAGAGTTAAATTAGGGCTTGTTATTCCTACGTAGCTTTTAAAAAATGGAAATATGGTTAAAAGGAGTAGTGAGTACGTGTAACTGTTGAATTGGGAGCTCTGAATAGCTCTCAGCAGTAAGCTTTTATTATGCATAACTTAAGTACGCTTTTTATAACTTTAAAGACATGTTTGATATTGTATTATTGTCCAGTTGAACTTTAATTCTTTGATATACATGTACCTCCCATTGAGCACGAATCTCAAGTTTTCTTCAACTTAAACAAGTCATTGTTATATCCTTGGTAAAAGTAGAACCAAGCTCCGGAATTTCCCCAAATAAATACACACACACTCAACCATGCTTAAGTAATTATGAAATATTAGAACGCTATATGATATTACCTTGGACAATAACTTCTTGAAATCTTCTGGACCAAAGAAATCAGGATTATCGTCATCAAACACCGGGTTCCAATGCTCTCTTTCTTTAAGCCCACTATTGTGATCGTTCATTTGCCTTCGAATCATTCGTTGTCTTTCAATTTCCTGACGTTTTAGCTCGTCCAATTTAGTCCTTACATCGTATTTTACAAGATCGAGATCGTCCGCTACTTTGCCCGATCTCAAGTCCGCATCCGAGGCATTCATTAGCTTTTGAACGTAGTCTTCATCTTGTTCTAATATCTGTACGACTTGTTTTAGGTATCGTGCATATTCGGGAAGGTCTTCCTCCTCTTTCTCTGGAGATGGCTTTTTCTTATTGACCGGGGGAGCATAACAACAGGTTATGACAAGAAGTATTCCTATCAGACCCCAAAACACTGAATTTCCACTCATATTCTAGTCCTTAATAACAAAATAACGGTGTTTTGGTATCACTGGGCATAAAGTATGCCTTCGACGACGACAGCTCTGGTTAAAATACTTAAATAATTTGAAGGAACTGGAAAGGTACGTGGCACAACCACTGACGAGTGACGTCACGAACAGCTGGATGACAGTATCAAACCACGGGATTCCCGAGGGATTATTTAGTTCTCCTTTCGACCTAATATTTATTTTAATCTTTTACTAAAAATAAAAAATACTAAGAGATTTTGAAAAATATTAAAATCATAGCTCTGAAATCGTATTTTTCTATCTTATAAGGAATAGGATAACATTTATAGGATACTGGAGATATCGCCAAAGGAAGCCCAGTATAGAGCGTTAGTTAGATTACAAAACCACAGGGTTCCCATGCGAGTTTTTCATCAACAACAGCAGATATAAAAACAAAGGATGATTTCTTCAACTGATTTATACTACATTATGACAGTGATGATGATTGACAGATCCAGGAGCTGATCAATGACAAACTTTTTATCTATTGCTTATCAGCATCATCTTCAGAACATTTTGTGAAAGGGGATGACAGTTTGTGTGAAATGAGAAAACAGTGATTTCAGAAGAGACTATCAGAAATTTTGTAGGAATAGATCAAGTGACAAAGCCAATAATTTGAGAACAACCATGACTGTATTGAGCAAACCACACATCTACTACTCTAATACAAATTGAATCATATCTATTCTAAGCATGTATTACAAAAACACATCCTTCAAATATCAGGAGTGACACCTAGCTTTACATTGAGTTTGAATTAATATTTAGTGAAATGTAGTTATTTTTAACTCAGACTGAAATCATTTACCATGTATTTTACTATAGATTTATAGAATTAATGTAGGTACATGTCAGATTAATATTGGGGTTTTAGTCGGAGCACACAAGTAACTTAGAAACTTATGAAGACAATGCCTTGAATTCCAGGTTATTTATTATGTTAGAATATTGATGACAAATACCAGCAGTGCTGTGCAACAATACTCCATCTTACAGTTCCATTCCAAGCTGAGGCTGGAGTTTCTGCACATGATAAAAGGTATAGTTTTGCTATGCGCAGAAACTGCAGCCTCGACTTGCAACTATTATTCGTGGTCACTCGGACAAAACTGTAAAATGGAGTATTACTATTATAGCACTACCTTTGAGCAAAATTATGATTAATAATGTTAGTAATGTTAGTAGGTTAGTATGTTAGTAGGTATTAGTATCAAGATTAGTAGTATTAGTTAAAATATATTATTATTATCTCCAGCTAGCATTAGTTAGAAGTTTTGCACCATCATTTGCCCATGCCCATAATACAGCTTGGGTTGCCTGTGGGTAGACAGCAGAACAATAAAATCCCTTTGCTCTTGGGAATTGAATTCTTCCTTATTGCAAAATGATTGTATTGTTCCTGGCATCTAACATGGCTGCATCAAGAGGTGGTACAAAACCTCTCTTGTCATCATTATCAATTATCTAAAAAGCAGACTTTCTTGTGGCATCATTTCCCATCTCTATAGAGCTGTTAAGTGTGTGAAATTCAAACAAAAAACGACTTCTGGGTCCAAATTAATGATTATTTCTACAGACATTTTTCTGATTTTTTCTTCATAGCAGGATTTTCTGTTCATATATCTAATTGTTGAAGGTAGAGAATAAATCCTGGGAAATAAGACTTATTTGTGGCAAGAAATTAGAGATCTTTTGTGTGATTGGACCAGGAAATACTTACGTCACAATTTAAAAGCCCTATAGCCACCATTGCATGTTGGTTGGATTTAACCAAGATTTTTTTCTCTCACTTTCATTATATATCAACCAACATGGCAGACCTGTCTCTTATTAACTTATTCTCTTGGGAGTGATTGCAAACCATGTACTACATACTCTGTGTAATCTTCAAATGTATACATTTTATTAAACAGTGCCATGTGCAGTGTTATGTATGTAGTTTAATATTGGGTTTTTTGTTTAAGTAAAATGGGGGCCCTGGAAGGCACTTGGGTAGCTTTTGTCAAAACAGCTATTTCCAATAATTGTGTAGTTCCAGAAATCATTTATACCCACCCCACAGAGGAATTTGGAAATTCAGAAGAGTAGGGGGGTCAGAGAAAGAACAAAAACTATAGAGTTTGTATGGAAGAAAATTGGAATTTCCAGGGGGTAGGGGGGTGTGTCTTAAAAAATTCCCCCATGAGGGGGGTATGGATAAATTTTGGAACTACACATTGTGGTTTTTTCACGCTCTTAATTCCTTAAGCATCCAAAGCATCAAACTCACTAGCTACTACAAACTGTCTTGACAAAGCTACTCAAGTGCCTTTCAGAGCCCCTGGTCTACTTAACGCAGGAAACCCAATATTAATATACATATACATAATATTTAGGACTATCTTTCCCTAAATTATTATACCCATAATGACTTGGTTAAGAGAAAAAACTGCAAGTATATAATTCAAGACATCATCTCAGAATAAAAGAAAATCATATTATTTGTTGCTGCTGTAGAAAGGTATGAAGCATATATTTGTTTATTTTTAAATGATTAGATCATGACTGGATTATCTTATAGGAAAGCGTTGGTTGTGCATTACAAAATCGTTGAGTCTGGGCGATGTACCTGAAAAAAGGAAGGAAAAAAATGGAAGATAAATGAATGTACCAATGATTGGAAGGATGGGCAGTTGAAATGGATGGATGGATGGATGGGCAGTTGAAATGGATGGATGGATGGATGGGCAGTTGAAATGGATGGATGGATGGATGGATGGATGGATGGGATGGATGGATGCATGGACGGACGGACGGACGGACGGACGGACGGACGGACAGATGGATGGATGGATAGATGGATGGATGGATGGATGGATGGATGGATGGATGGACGGATGGATGGACGGATGGACAGATGGATGGATTGATGAATAAATGGAAGGAAGAATGGATAAATGTATGAAATAGATGAGGGTAGGCATATGGGATGGATGGATAGATAAAGTAAAAGTTGCACTTACCAGAAATGCATTGTGGCTTTAATCCAAAGCTTCGGCAAAGTCTTCATTATGGTCCCCTTCGGAGATGCAAGTTATGGCAGCACAAGGATGATCAGTCTGGATCAAGTAGTTCTGTGAACCACCAGAAATTTATGATTACGTGAAGCATATGTGATGCCATACCAGCTACATTGAAGGCATATTTACTAATCTTACATCATCTTCCAACATGGCACCAAGTTTTTTTTGACTATTTTGCACTCTTAATGCTAATTTACATAGCACATTCTGTTTTTTGTTCTATATATTTGCTCTCAACTGTTGCAGGCAATATAATGCTTACACAAAGTTTTAAGTATTTACAGTCAATGCCAGCAAATTGTATGGTTGATTCACAAGAAAGCAATTTGTTTTAGTCATCATCATCATCATGCTATATTATGTGTTCTGTGAATATTTTGAACAATAAAGGTAAAAAAAATTCCAAACTAATCCAACCATGCTCAAGACTAGCTATGGCCCTCAGTAAAGCAAGTTGTCTGGGTATCTTGTCTACTTACATGACCATATTCAAGAGCTTTTCTTCTCTCGTCAACACTTGCTTTGGCACCAATCCAAACGAACAGGTCATGGCCAGTGTCAAAAAGAAACACTACAAAAAATAATCAAGTAAATAAAAATTTTATTGCAAAATGTAAAATTCTCACTTTCTGATTGGTTGAGAGCCATGGTTAATTCGAAAATATCTATTTCAGTATGGATGTTTAATTCATCGTGCTTTCATTGGTTTGTCCATAGTTAATATTAACTATGGCTTGTCTACTGCTCAACCCAGATATGACCCTGGAGGTTGTCACCTCAATACGCCCCTGAGTACATATATGTTATTTACCGGCCAGGAGGTCCAGATAGGGAAAAACTGTGCCCAAGGTCTTGAATATAGGGACCGAGGCCGTTAGGCCGAAGTCCGTTTTCAAGACTGAAGGCACAGTTTTTCCCTATCCGGACCGACTATAGGACGGTAAATAACTTTTTTTTTCCAGTATTTTTTTTACTTGTTTTTGTAATCGTTTTGTGTTGTCGTTTAGTGGCAAAGGATACCGGACCACGCGCGCGGGCAGATACTGACAAAATACCGCCAGCTCAAACAGCCAATCAGAATGCACGTTTTTTTAGGATACCGGACGGGAAAAAAATAAAGATTAATATCTTATATTATTAATATTAATATAGTAAAATTATTACTATTATAATGGACTGTGTCTTACCATCATTTGAGTTGAAGTTGCTCATTGAAATTCTGCCTTTGCTAACCTGGGAAAGACTCAAACTGCCATGTTTATCTGAGAGCCTAAAGAAAGATCATAAATGTCATTTTCTTAATATATAATGACATGGATCATATTCAGGTACTGTATACTGTACATCCTTAATACCATCACCATCATCTTCAGTATCATCTCCTGCATTATCATCAACACCGCAATCATCACCACCATCACTATCATTGTCATCATCTTCATTATCATTATCATCACCATCACCATCATCATCAACCCATTACAATCATTATCACGGCCATCACCACTATTGTCATATATCTTCATTATTATCATCATCGTCATCACTATCACCATCACCATCAACATCACCAGTAACATCTTCATCTTCATCATCATTACCAGCATCATCTCCATCGTCATCATTAGAACCATCACAAGGATCACCATCATCATCAACATCATTATTTTTATCACCATCATCACCATCAACATCCCCAGCATTATCTTCATTTTTATCATCATCATCCAGCCATACTCATCATTAGAACCATCACAATCATCATCATCACCATCACCATCATTATTACCATCACCATCACCATCTTTATCACCATCATCACCATCAACATCACCAGCATTATCTTCATCTTTATCATCATCATCCAGCCATCATCATCATCATCATTAGAACCATCACAATCATCACCATCACCATCAATATCATCATCAGCATTATCAGCATCATCACCATCAACATCACCATTTTTATCACCATCATCACCATCAACATCCCCAGCATTATCTTCATCTTTATCATCATCCAGCCATCACCATCATTAGAAACATCACAATCATCACCATCACCATCAATATCATTCATCAGCATTATCACCATCAGCATCACCATTTTCATCACCATCATCACAATCAACATCACCAGCTTCATCTTTATCATCATCATCATCATCTAGCCATCATCATCATCCAGCCATTATCATCATTAGAACCATCACAATCATGCCATCGCCATCACCATCACCCTCATCACCCTCATCACTAATCATTCCATCTTGAGTTCATGACTATGATCTTCATCACTGTACAGATATAAGATCATTTTCATTGATAACAAATATTATCATGCACAGAATGTTACACAGCTGACCTGAAGAGAGCCTTTCCAAAGCTATCATAATCACCAGTATGCTGTAATGAAAATATGAATTAAAAGAAATAATATATATTAGGAAGCACGGGTGGTGTGCTCTACTTGAATACACTGCCTGTCACCAATGCTATACTACCCAGCTGCAGGTTCAAGTCCTGCCCATCTGAGTGTCATACATGTATCTGAGTAGAGTTGTTTGTTGGTTCTCTTTTAGGCTTTGAGGGATTTTTCTCCAGGTTACTTTAGTCCCCCTCCCCTTCAAAAATCAACTTCTAAATTCCAATGGGATCTTTGGGCTTTCACTTAGTTGGAGCCTACATCTGTTGCATGATTGTCTCACTTTTAAAACAGCTAAAGCTAAGATACCCTTCAATTATATCATACATGCACATAAACTTACTTACAGTGCATGACGCGCCTACCTTGGCCACCCAACTTATTTTTTACTAGTTAGCTAATGAGACAGCAATTTGTGCATTTCCACATGAACTCACTCAGCATGACCATAAATATTTAAAATTATATTGTATTCTTTGCAACAAAAGCTTACTATAATAAAAAAATGGCTAGTAATTTGCCTAGGTGATACTTATTTCGGTCCCTTTGCTGGCTAACACTGGACACTTTTGTAAGAAGTCTTTTAAATTGATGGAAAAACTTGGCGGGAAAGGATTCAAGGCCATTGGTAAAATAATAAGTTGGGTGGCCACAGTAAGATGCATTGCACTAGTACTGTAATATATATAATACATGATGTTGTTGATAACAAGTTCTTTTCTTACCTGCTCTACTGTCTTGTTGGGGAAAAATTTATAAAAGACATGCTCTGAAGATATTTCATCTTCATCTGTTTTTAGCAGAGATTAAGTTACTTGACATTAACTCACACATAGGGCAAAGAGTTAAAGGAAACCAGGGATGGCAAACCACCTGAATGGTAGCAGGATTGATTCCTGGGCATGGTATAGTAGAATTTGTATCTCTCTAAGTGTTTCAAAGTGGTCAGCAGGGCATTGAAGGTGGTCAGTCAGGTGTTGGTACACTGTCAGTAAGGTGTTGGTATGGTAGGGTGTTGGTAGGTTGTCAGTAGTGTGTTGTTAGGTTGTCAGTAGGGTGTTGGCAGGTGGTCAGTCAGGTGTTGGTACATTGTCAGTAGGGTGTTGGTAGGTGGTCAGTAGGGTATTGGTAGGTTGTCAGTA